TGTTAAAAGGATCGAAGTAACAAGACACACAAATCTTTTGGTCAATTTTCAAGTTATTAAATAAGTATTATTTTAATCTAAAAAATATCCGCGAGGTAATTAATAACTGAGTTTGCTCCTGTTGTATTCCCACCAAATTTGAGATTAGAAGCTCTTTTTCTAGTTCTCTAATTCAAATTCATTTGTTTTATTCCCAAAACTGAGGTTTTAGAAATTTATTTATAATAGAAACTGAAAACCAATGAATTATTTAATCCGAAATTAATTTACGAGAACTAAATACATAAATCTTTTTTAGAATTATGTTTAAAATCGTTATTTCAAAACCAAATTCGGGAGTCCAGTATCTCCATATGAAAATATATATGCAGTGCAGTTTACGCTCAAATTAAAATAGGTTATTTAATTAACCTTTAGATTTTTAAGATAACTTTATGAAATGGGTAGAACGATAAATTTAAATATGTTTATTTAATTAACCTCGTTATAAGTAATGTTTCCTTCATTATCTCGAATTAGATCAGTCTAAATTACTCCTATAAATCATTGGGAGTAATGCCAAGAACAACTTTGAAATCATCTTCCAAAGATCTTTCAATTTACTTCTGAAAATTGAAGGTGTTGTTTGAACATAAATGAGCCTCCACATTTTGATGTAGTAAAATAATTTTTTTTGATGTAAAAGCAAACTAACTTGAATAGAGAACCAGAGGAATACAACAGGAGCAACCACAATTATTCTTTTTAGGTGGATACTTAAATACCAAAAATAGTTTAAGCAGTAGAAGCAAATTTGTATTTTTAGGTTTAAGTAGCAGAAGCAGAAGCAAATTTGGAGTCTCCTTCGGCCCATCGAGTTTTCTTCTTGTGGTCTAAAATCAGGAAAGCATTTGAAAAAACTGGGAAAATGGGATTTGGGGAACAATGGATACATATAATTTGGAATCTCTTATGTAACAGGTGGTATACAATTATTATAAATGGGAAGAGATATGGTTTCTTCAAATCTCAGAGAGGAGTAAAACAGAGAGACCCTATATCCCTTTCTTTATTTATATTAGCTGCAGAAGTACTTTCTAGAAATTTAAATTCTTTATTTGATAATCCAAGGTCCAAAGGTTTCATTATGAATACTAATGGACCTAGAATTAATCATTTATCTTATGCTGATGATATTATTATTTTCTCTTCAGGAAAGACTGCATCTTTGAATCTGGTGATGGAGACTCTGGAAGAATACGAAAAGGCATCTGGTCAACTAATCAATAAGAACAAAAGTTGTTTTATGGTAGGAGACAACATATCTTATAGAAGGATATCCATAGTAGAAAACTGCTTGAACATTCAACGTAAAGAGTTTCCTATTACTTATTTGGGATGTCCAATTTATGCGGGAAGGAAAAGGGTCCATATTTTACTGATATCGCCACTAAAATTGTTCGAAAGGTGGGAACTTGGCATAGTCACTTACTATCCGCTGGAGGGAAGATGATCCTGATTAAACATGTGTTATCAGCTATGCTAGCGCATCTTTTGTCAATCTGCCAGCCTCCAAAGACAATAATAAAACATATCGAAAGAGTGTTTGCCAATTTTTTCTGGGGAAGCAGTGAAGGAAAGCAAAAATACCATTGGTCATCCTGGAGTACATTATGCTATCCAACAAGTGAAGGAGGAGTTGGATTCAGGTCTTTACAAGACATTGTTGATACTTTTGCTGCTAAGCTTTGGTGGCAATTCAGATCGCGAGATTCACTATGGGCTGAATTCATGAAAGCCAAATACTCCATAAGGATACACCATATATCTAGGAAATAGTCTTACCTACATTCACACACCTGGAGAAGATTAATGGAGATAAAGAAGAGGGTAGATCATTTGATTTTGTGGCAAATAAATAAAGGAAATACAAGTTTCTGGTGGGATAACTGGACAGGCTTGGGACAACTTGCACAGTTTGGAGAGGTGTCTACATCAAATAAAATTCATGACTCTTCATTCATGATCAACAGAGAATGGAATATGGCCAAACTAGCTCAAATACTACCTGCTGGGATTGTACAACATATCCAGGGAGTTAAAATTAATTCTCTAGTGCTACATGATTATCCAATATAGACTTTATCAGAAGATGGAAAATTCAATTGTAGCTCTGCTTGGAATCATCTAAGAAGCAGAATGAATACTACTTTGGTTTGATGTGGCATAACAAGATCCCTTCAAAATTTCTTTTTTCCTATGGAAATTATTCAAACACAAGATCCATGTGGATGATAATATGAAGAGATTTGGACTCCAATTCCCATCCAAATGTTCATGTAGTATCAACTCAAGTATCGAAGATGAAGAGCATATTTTTACGGGGAGTGATATGTGCAGACCTATTTGGCATCATTTTAATCAAACTTTTGTGGTCCAGATGAGTCAAACCACAACTACTATTAGACAACATGTCCTTAAATGGTGGTTTATGAAAACATCAAAACCATTACTGAAATTGATCCACCAGTCTTTTCCTGAAATCATTATATGGTAGATTTGGAAAGCTAGATGCAAATGAAGATTTGAGAATGAGAGACTTTCCACTGGAATAATTATTTGGAAGATACAACAACAAATTGGTATGCTTGTTCATTATAAACGATTTCCTAAAGTGAGTTCTTATAATCTGAATTGGGCGAACTTTTGTGATATTGTGAGTAATGCTAAGTTCTCTATCTCCTCTATCTATATTAAATGGAATCCCCCAAACCTAGGATTTGTCAAGATCAATTCTGTTGGCTGCTCTAAAGGCAACTCAGGCCTTAGTACAGGAGGAGGGATTATTCTGTTGAAAGCTTCAAGTTTCTGCCAAGTGCCATCGTCTTCTTCATCAAGTTTCTGCCATCTGAAAGACCAGGTAGAGGCAGATTTACGTGGAGGGAAGTGGGGTATATGTACCCATGCTCTCCTCCCTAGGCTATGTATAAACAGTACTAATTTTACAATTATCTAAATAGATATATTTGTGACCACCCAAGCTCAATTGACTACCTTGGTGCATTGGTAAGTTGGTGCCCATGTGTACCCCGAGGTCAAGGGTTCGATCCTCTATCCCTTCACCTTTTCTATATTAAGTTTTTTTCCTTTAAAAGTTTTTTTTGGCTAAAAACATGGCCTACGTTTTTAGGAAGAATTTGGGTATATACTAATATATCAAATCCCTATTCCTAAAAGCAAACTTCACAGTCTAGTCTGTATCCCTCTCCTTTTTTGTATTAAGTTTTTTTTTTTTAAAAGTTTCTTTTGGCTAAAAACATGGCCCATATTTTTAGGAGGAATTTGGGTATATACTAATATATCAAATCCCTAATTCCTAAAAGCAAACTTCACAGTCTGTCTCCCTCTCAACTCTCTCTCTATCGGCTCTAGCCTCTGTGAATGGATTCTTCAAGAAGCGACATTTCTTCTCCACGTCCACGTTCCTGTAAAATTCTCAGCCTCAGGTATCTAACTATTCTCTCCTTGCTCTGTATTTTAATTCTCTCACTGCAGCTTTATTGAATAACTTGCTCAAATTCAAACACAATTAAAGTGTCAAACATACATGTACAGGACTACAAATGCCTAATTTTTGTGCTATAACTTCTTCATCTGTTGACTGACATGCTTTAATATGATTGATTTGAATTTAACAATTTATTTGAATTAAGATATATTAAATAGAAGTGTGAATATTTAATTTTGTAGGAACGATCCATAAGATTAAAATGGATAGATTTCTCACCAAGCCGATAAATGGTGCACCCATGTTCTTAAAATCCTGGATGCGCCTCTGGGGGGAGGGATTATTCGAAATCATAATGGTGAACTATTAGCTGCTTATGTAATCCCTTTTGGTATTATCACAAATAATATGGCAGAATCATTGGCTCTAAAGGCTGGATTAGATTGGTGTGTGGAGAAAGGATACAAGAAGATCATTGTGGAGATTGACTCTTTGTTGTTGGTTAACTGGCTGTTTGGAAAAGCTAAAATTCCATGGAAGTTAACTGATATAATTCTGGATTTGAGAAACAAACTTGAACTTATGGAAGATAGGATAATAACACATTGCTATAGAGAAGGAAACAAAGTTGCTGATATCCTATCCAATTATGGCTTGAAAGTTAGACATATGACATGGTTTCACAATTTGCAACAACCACCAAAGGAGGCTAGAGGAGAATACAAAATGGACATATTACAATTCCCTTCATTTAGAATGAAACAATCCAATAATACCATTTCTCTAGACAGGAGCCCGGGCAGAAGATATCAATTTAATCTTCTTTGATATGGTTGTAATTATGCAATATAGAAGAGGGATTAGTAGCCCTCTCAATTCACTATTTTGTGAGCTATAACGGATATACGTATCCATCATTTTGTAAAGGTTTGAGGATACTCAACCTACATAGTAACAGAGGTAAGGTGAAGTCCCCCTCCAATGTATTTATATATTTATCTATATATGTTTGTCCAGGCTCATGAAGAAGCTGGATAGCTTTAACCAAGAAAAAAAAAAAAAACGAACAAACTCTAGTATTATCATTGATAGAACTTCAGATTGAAGGATATTCTTATCCTTGTGTTGTAATCTTTGGAGGTAAGGACCATCCTCCTTCATCGTTTCAAGATTAAACATCCCCAGTTTAAGTGGGAAATTAATTTAAAAAAAAATATAGCAATAGAAGGAAGGGAAAAAAGACAAGATAAAAGCTAGACAGTAAATATCCTTTCTATTCTTCAATTTTCGTCTTATTTTTTGCAAATAAAAAGCTTTAATTCAAGAGGCCTACTCATCTGTTCGATCAAATTGTGGTATAAATAGAGTTCCTCAAAACTCCAAAAACTCATGTCATTGGGCACTAAAGAGAACCTATAATTATGGGCTAGACTCCCAATGGTTCATGTATTCTCTTCTTTAAATACTAACGTGGAATCTCCAACATGAAATAGAGGAAACAAACCCTAGTACCATGGATAGAACTTTAGAATTACCAACACAAATTCTCCACAATATACTCTCTCGCCTCTCCACAAAAACTGCGGCTCAAACCAGTGTGTTGTCAAAGCCATGGCTTAAAGCATGTTCTACGAACCCCCATCTTAGTTTTAATGAATCTTTTTCGAATCAAACTGATTCTGATGGTCTGGTGGATAAATGGTTAGATATAGTTGCAGAGAAAGGGGTTTCACAGGTTGCACTTTTGGCGAAAAGCAGATCAAGATTAGTTTCAGAAAGATATACTTTGTCAGCTTATACCATATTTGCTATGGAATCATTGCAGGAGTTGGAGCTAAATTATTGCAAAGTACTGAAACTAAAACCAATAATATTTGAAGATAGTAAAATTAAGTGTCGTAACCTAAAAAGTGTTATGATCGGAAACTGGATAGTGCGAAATTTCACCGAATAACGGTATAGTGATAATAACAAAGACAATGGAAGTTGATAACAATGGCAATTAAAGCAGATAAAGAAGACACCAATTTAACGTGGTTCGGTCAGTGTGACCTACGTCCACAAGCGACGTCCACAAGCGGAGAGTAGCAATTTTATTATAACAATAAGAGTACAAAAGGTAGTACAAAATTAGAGTAAACACTCTAATTAATCCCAAATACCCTAAGAGTATAACCTCACAAGATCACTCCAAAGAAAGGGTTCACACAAGTTATTCTCAACCTAACACTAACTCTCATACAAAACACTCTGGTTCACACAAGTTATTCTCAACCCAACACTAACTCTCATACAAAATACTCTTAATAAAGGAGAAACAAGAAATGAAGACTCAAGTCTTGTTGGTGTGTCTAAAATGAACTAATGGCCTTCCCTTTTATAGGCAAAAAAGTCTTGGCCTCTTAGGTATAAAAGAAGAGATACAACTTGTGCAAATGATGTCCACCACACAATGCAATATTTTTGGGTCTCAAAGAATATTGCCAACAAAGTCTACAGTTTGCAAAGATACTTATGCTTATGTGTGATGGACTCCATTAGCCAAAATATTGGCCATAATTACAAAAAGTCTAAGCTTGCATTATGTTACTCTTTCTGAATCAACACTTGATAGCCTAATTTCATGTTGTGGCCCTCATATCAAGATGATATCATTTCAATACTGTACCGGGTTCAGTACTTCAGTTGCATTCGTGTTTCAAATCCTCCTAACCTTTTGTCTCTTAATATCTTATGCTGCCCAATTGAGGAAGTTCATATTGTTAATGCACCAAAATTGCTTTCTTTCGAATATGTGAAGGGCCTTCTTTTTATAGTGTTGACGTATTTCTGTATTCTTTGAACATTGGCACTTGCCAAAATCTCCGAAGAGTAGAATTTGTGATGGCCACAATTGATGATACCGATCTTTTCCAGCTCATACAAAAACTGCCCTTCATCAAGGAATTGAGCTTACGCTGTTGAGGTTTTATTTTTAAGATAAAATATTCTTAAAATGAGGGTGAATGGGAAATGGAGGGAAAATGAAATTTTGAGTAAAATTTTAAGTTTCCCCCTCTTGACAATAAGACATTGTCCCATATTTGAAGAGGAAGACATTTTTGGTGGGTATATATATAATTGCTCTTCTTGTAGCTCTTAAAGAGTTAAGAAGAAAGCAAGCCTCGCGCCGTCGTCGTCGTCGCTCGCTCGGCTCCGGCTCCGGCTCCGGATTTGGATTTGGATTTGGATTTGGACCAAATTTATTTGTTAATAGAAAATATTAACGTAAGATTATCCGCATTTGTAACGGATATTTTCCAATTCGTGTATTGACCATTTGGCAGCCGCCTAATGCTCTTCCCACAAACATGAAGTGCTTGCTCCACCATGGAGGGTGGACGTTTGGTCTTCTTCAACATTTTGCTACTATATATATGTGCAANTCAGTGGGCTCGAATTTATTATTGTTTCATAACGTTAACTTATATTTTGCAGAATTTTTATTTATAAATACAGCAATATTGGCGGGAATAACATACGCTACTGTAAGTACTTGAAAATATTAAAAATCTCAAGTTCAGCCCTTGAGGTTTGTAGTATAGGAAATTGCGAATGCTTAGTGCAAACCATTTTTGATGTGCCCAAGTTACTCTTCTTAGTCTTCTATGATCAATTTAGAATACCTTTTCTATCTTTTGAACGTGCTTCAAGCCAATGCAGGATTTCCATAGATTATCGCAATCTATGGAATGCTCAGCAGTTCATTGACTTAAGGAGATATCTAGTTGAGTTGAATGGTCAGCCTGTAGATTTGACATTGTCGAATACACTTTGCAGTAGGTTTCGCTCTAAAAGTTTGAGAGCAAGTGGAATAAGTGATCATCATCCCATACTTCAAGTAGAGAATTTGATATCTGTGTATCCAACTGGGTCATATTCAACTTACTTTGATGCCATCTTCTGGACTTGTCGGCCCAAGAGTTTAGTAGTACAGTGTAATGAAGGATTTAGAAAGTTTCTACGTCAACAATTGTTGAAGAAGTACCGGTGGAGACTTAGCAAATGTACTTGGAAAGAATATCTCATAAATGCTCAAATAGAATACAAGAGAAAGAGAGAAGATAGCTGGGTGACGCTTAATAGGAGCATATTGAGGGTTAACCCTGGTATAATTGAAGAGATCAATACAGTTCGCTTCAAGCAAACTTAAGTAAGAGAGAAAGACAAAGAATCATCTATTTCAAGGTAACTATTTGTTTTTTAAAATGTATGAATACATGCCATCCCTTTTCCTATATATTCCTAACAATTACCATATGTTATTTGTGCAAATGCAGATCATAACACCCTTCCTTGAAGGTGGTTATGGCTCTACGTGCTCTTTAGGTGTATTATTTTTGTTTATTTGTTAATGGTCATATTTTACGTTAATTTCCCCCCACAAAAAAAGAGATCAGAGTAAAAAGTTATTAAAACACGCTACTAATAGACTGTTTGGCCAAACTTCTAAAATCACCTTATGTTGAGAAAAGTTTTTTTTTCAAAAGTATTGTTCTTAAAAGTACTTTAATGAGCAACAGTTTGTGTTTGGCTAATTAATTTGGAAATAACATTTCTGAGTAGCAATTAATGTTTGATCAAATTTTTAAGAATTGTTTCTGTTAAATAATATAAGGACATATTAGTAATTGTTAAATAAGTTAGTTGTTAGGTTAGTAGTTAAATTAACTAAGTATAAAGGGGCCATCATGTACTCAGAATAGAAAAATCTCTAATAAAACTCTCTCTCTAGCATCTCAGTACTCTTTCTTCTTCCTCAATTATCAACATGGTATCAGATATTTTGCTCGTGAAATCGAAGCTCTAGATTTGAAAATTTTCTTCCGCAATCATTCTTCTCTGAAATTTACTTGGTAAAATTTTGTTCGTCTAAATTCCTCACAGCTGGGTGTTAAATCATTGAGAAAGAAACAAGAAAAGCGAAAATGGGGACAACTGAAGAAACTCCAAATCTCAATTCCGGACTCAATTCTGGAAATTAGATGAATCAAGTGACAGGGATCGATTATAACCATTCACTGTTCCTCTCACCTGCAGATGTTAGCGGAATTCAAATTATCTCATTTCAGCTAACAGGTATTGAAAATTACTCTATTTGGAATAGATCTATGCGGGTTGCTCTGTTGGATAGGAACACATTAGGTATGATTGATGGTACATGCAGTAAAGATAGATTCCCAGATTCTATGGGAAATCATTGGGAAAAAGTAAATGCCATTGTTCTATCTTGGCTTATGAATTCAGTGGCCAAAGGTCTTCTTGGAGGAATTATGTATGCCTCTAGTACACAAACAGTTTGGGAAGACTTAGCCGAGAGATTTAATAAAGTTGATGGCTCAAGAACTTTTAATTTGCATAAAGAAATAACCACATTAACTCAAGGCTCTGCATCTGTCTCGGTTTATTTTTCAAAACTTAAAGATCTTTGGGAGGAATTTGAAGCTTTAGTCCCCGCACCTGGGTGCGATTGTCCCAAATCAAGAGATTTTGTTAACTATCTACTGAAGTTGAGGTTGTACCAGTTTTTAATGGGGTTAAATGATTCATATTCACAAGCAAGAAGCCAAATCCTAATGAAGACACCTCTACCTACTGTGAATCAGGCCTATGCCTTGATAGTGAGTGATAAAAGTCAAAGGTCTATAGCAGCCAATTCAGGAATTCTTGGAGCTAATCCTGTAGGTAACTTTGAACTTGCTATGTATATCAGAAATGGTGGAGGTGGACAAAATCAAAGGTTCAAGAAGAACTTTAATGTTCAATGTGAATATTGCAAATTGAAAGGCCATACAAAAGAAAACTGTTATAAACTTGTAGGGTATCCTCAAGATTTCAGACAGAAAAAAAGAGGGTATAATGCTGCTCACAATGCTAATATTCTGACTGAGAATTATAACAACCAGAATCAAAACCCTGCAGAACCTACATTTATATATGGTCAGAATACTAATGTCATAAATCAGTCTGCTTGTGGAAATCAAGTATCCTATAATCAAGGACCGGAAGCAGTTGCAAGCCAATTGGGAAATTATACATTCACAAAGGACCAATATGATCAGATTGTTCAGCTGTTGAACAAAGGAGGAATCTCAACAATTACCAACAATGAAGATTCAACTGCAAATGTAACAGGTACTGATACAACATTATTGGTTTCAAATGGTTCACATGAATGGATTATAGACACTGATGCAACCAACCATATGGTATATGATACTAACCTTCTGAATAAGTCTACAATAGTTCATACAGTCGATCCTAAGAAGGTTATGTTACCCAATGGTGATGTGTCTCTAGTCACACACACATGGGCAAGTTCAATTTCTGACACACATGGGCAAGTTCAATTTCCGACAAAACCACTATAACTAATGTATTTCATGTGCCTCAATTTAAGTACAATCTTCTTTCAGTTTCAAACATGACTAAAGAACTTCAATGTGCTGCAACATTCTTCCCTGACTTTTGTGTTTTCCAAGATCTCTTCACTGGGAAGGTGAGGGAGATTGGTAAAGAAGAAAGAGGATTGTACATACTATTAGCTCAACTGGCAAGGAATAAGCAAAATATTGTGTATGCTGCAAAAGGATTGACTACAAGTGAAGTAAGTCAGATCAATGTAGAGTTATGGAATCAAAGATTTGGATATGTGTCTGTTTTAGTGCTCAAGAAAATACTGCCTATTAGTGTACAGAATATGAGAGATAAAGTAGATAAATGCACAATTTGTCCTTGTGGTAAACAAACTAGATTGCAGTTTCCTTCTAGTGATATTAGAAGTGTATGCTGTTTTGCTTTGATTCATGTAGACCTATGGGGTCCTTATAGAGTAGCTACTTTTGATGGCAACAAGTACTTTCTAACAGTTGTAGATGATTACAGTAGAATGACATAGGTATTTCTACTTAAACA